TGTTGCTAGTGCCACAACACAAAAAAAAGTGGAATTTAAGCTTTTTTTTTAACAGCAACCATAGACTGTAAATATGTACTAATCCTGAGTGACATCATCGATCTGTTTCTGCAGGGGGCTTTGGAGTCCCATCGATGTCCAATCTTGTCTCATCCTAACTTTCAGACAACTAACCACATCTTTTCCTGGGAGCTCCTGAGCTCTGTTAAGTTCCTCAGGATCGGGATCTACCTGAACACCCCCCCCCCCCAATTCCTTATCCTTCTGGCCATTGTAACTTTTGCAAAATTTGTCACCCAAGTGCTTTGTCATGATGGATTCATCTGGGTCTTTGTAATATAGCAATGAGTAAGGTCTTTCACCTGCTCTTTTGTAAAGTGTCTCGAGAAAACACTTGTCATAAATTGGCGCTATACAAATAAAAATCGATTGAACCTAACGACAGGCTGAGAGCTGGAGCTGAGGCGGGTTTTTAAGCCTCTTGACAAACAGTTACTGAGCATTGCGCCCGTCTGTCAGTCAGGTTAGCTATACGTGCCTTACTGTGAATAACGCTTATCGTTCATCTTCTTGTATTTATTGGATATGGCAGGCAAGTCGAGTTAAGGTTCATTCAGGAGGAAGGATCTTCAGTAAACCCTAATCTTAAAAAAAAGCCTTAAACAAACAAATGTTGCGTCACTTCTCGTGTGATAGAGGGGTTTAGTTTAGGAGAGGCTACATAACATTCCTATGGATCATTCCTTTATTTATTGACGATAGGAGCCTTCACATACACATTAGGTAGAATCATCACACCAGTTTTTGGAAGCATACTGCCATTAAACGCTGTGTGTGTGTGGATCAAACAGGCGGTCAGACACAGTTGAAATGGAGCAGATCTGAAGTGGCCAACATGGAGCCAATCAAAGCGCCATAACACTGATGTTCTGACAGAGAAAACACTAATCGCCATCATGTGGGAGGAGGTTTTAATGTGTGCTGTGTGCGTTTTAAAGGGGGCCGAATCGTAGGTGTGGATTTGTGTGCTAACTGGTCGGCCTGTGTGGTGCTTGGATTTGTGATTTTTAAAAAAAGGCTGTATGGTTTGTGAAGATCCCTGCTGTGTTAGTATTAATACAATATGTATCACTGTGTATGTGTGTGTTCCCTAATAACTAATTCCAGTGTGCACATGAGTTTTTAATGTGCTTACCAGAGCACTGCTGCAGGAGTTTTCCATGTGCATCCTACCATTCACTCAAGTGCCTGAGTGTGTGTGTGTGTGTGTGTGTGTGTGTGTGTGTGTGTGTGTCCCTGACTGCTTGTCACTTGTCTCTCTTCTCTCATAGAAGTAAGTTGTTGTTGCAAGTGACTCCACCTGTTTGACACAGAGCTCTGATTGGTTTTTACCCTACGGCTCCCTGGAGGGCCAAATAGCTCAATTTCAGCGTGACAGCCGAGTCATTCACCCTCATTCACAAACAACGCCTCACTTACTGATGTCTGTCCTCAGTCATCCACCGCTCTCCCTCTTTCACATCTGAATACTTCTTCTCCATCTTTAAAAGGTAGATTCATCAGAAGGATGACTAAAAGGTCTGACATTTGAAGCATTGACATAAAAACCTCCTTGAATAAGAATCTTAGAGATTGCACATTTTTAAGCACGAGTGATACTGCTACCTTTAAAATATGTTAAAAGTAAAACTATGAATTAAATGTAGAAGTGAAAAAAAATTTTGTGGCTAAAAAATACTTTTAATCGTTTTTCTTATTAAGAGTCGAAAACACCCTCCACACACTTTGGGTAGAATAAGTGTAAAGTATGTATTTTCATTGGCATCGCTTATGATGCACAATCTTTGTTTAAGAGCATCTTTGGCTTCAACAACAAGAATGACATGAAGAAGATGCAAAGCCAACATGGAAAGGTGAAATCAACAAATCTGTTTTTTTTCTCCTAAAGAGCCGACATTAAGTACGACATGAAGCTAAGAAGGCAAATTTATCTGAATTCAAGGCCCACTTCTTATAGTTTTTCAGAAGCTATTAGTATTCATGTAGATGTCTCAGTGTAGTCATGGGAGCTCTGAGGCTTTCCAGTGACAGCTAAGATAACTCTGTTTGCTGATGAAGACTGTGAGATTGAATTCAAAGCCCCAGACTAAGCTAGTAAGTTTTATCAAAGTGTTTTGTCTAAGCTACGTCACGTTCAAATATGGTTTAAAGGTCACATATGCAAAATACACTTCATCATGTTTTCCTAACACTAACACGTGTCTTAGTCTGTCTACAAATGATGAGAAAGTCCATCCTCTCTGTCTGTTGCCTGCTCTACTTTTCAGAAAATGTGTGCTCAAACAGGCCGTTTGTAGATTTTCCCTTCATGACATCACAAAGGGCAGTAGCCCCTCCCCCAGGTGGGTGACACTCCCACAGCTAGGTGTTTGTTCTGCCTCTGAGTCTGCCTTCTCACCGTAAACAATAGGACATGGGGTGAGAAAGCCAGAGCAACCCAAGCCCTTCCAGAGAGGGGGCGTGGTCAGACACAGCTCATTTACATATTTAAAGGTACAGACACAGAAACAGCCTGTTTGAGCAGGGCTGAAATAGAGGGGTTTATAGACATGATCAAATACAGGATCAGAGTGGATTCAGAACAAGAAACTTCACACACATGTTTTGAGGAGCTCTGAGACTTTTTAAACAAGTAGAAAAGGAGGAGAATATGTGACCTTATAAACAACTCCCTGTGCATTCTGATTGTACCTGTACCATGCTCTCTCTCTCTCTCTCTCTCTCTCTCTCTCTCTCTCTGAGAATAACACCTCCATCAGTCAGTTTCTGCACTTACGTTTCCTCCATCTTTTATTTCACCTGCTCATTTCTCTGTGGACCTCATTACCTTCCTCTCCCAGACAATAGGCACTCATTTTTTTTCCTTCCCCCGTCACTGCCACTTTCCCTAATATGACATCTACACATACATTACTGACCGGTATAGACTGGAGACTAATGGAATGTTTCAGTTTCTGTCCATTTGACTGTAGTATATTGTTTGACAGGTAAAAATCTTATATAGAGCCTGCAAAAGAAATACTTCATAACGAGGAAAATAAAGCACGACGGTCAACTTGTCCTGGGAGTCTAATTAGTGTTTCCTCACACTTGTCGCTCCACAGCCCCGGCCCGTCCTCTGTTCATTATTGTCTCCCCCTCAGGGCCAATCATGAAGGTACAATTCAAGCCTTTTTAAAATGGTCATGAATTGATGAGGCTGTTTGATTGATCTTTATGCAGGAACTGGCTTACAAAAGTAACTTCATTTAAATTTATCGGCCTTGTGCAGAAGATTTAGATCTTAATGTGTGGATTAAACTGACTCACTGATAGTGAACATGTCTCAGTCCTTATCTCCAACTCTGATTCAGAGAACACATCCTGTCTGTTTTGTGGAATTAAAAAGGTTTTTAGAGCTATGAATCAGGGAGCAGTTGTCGTTGAAATGTTTAATCCTTCCTTTGGCTGTTTGCACAAAAGAAGTGAAGACTTTTTTGTCTTACCTGAACATGTCCCCGAGTCCTTTCAGCATGCCCTTCTTGGCCTTTCCCTTGTCCTTGTCCTTGTCCTTGTCCTTCTCCTTCCCTCCTTCCTGCTGCTGCTGCTGCTTCTTCTTCTCCTTCCCTCCCTTGTCTTTGTCTTTGTCTTTCTTCTTCTCCTCTTTGGTTCGATTGGTGCCGTTGACCAGGGGCTTCTCGGAGCCGGGCAGCGGCGTCTGGTCGGCCACCGTGGACACCGAGTCTCTGCCCGATCGAGAGCTCTCCTCTGTGTCCTCCTCCACTGGAGAGAGAATGAGAGACATGAGAGGAGAGAGAGACACATGGAGGGGGGGAACATACTCTTTTTAAACCAACAGGTGATTTAAAGAGGGAGTGTGTTAGATATAAAACTCAATAAGCCTAATAAATGAAAATGTACAAGTCTCTTAGATGAGCAATAAAAACTCAGTAAGAGCCAAATGGAATATAATAAAATGTTATTACATCCTATAAGTGATCGAAGCGCTCTGTTCTACAATGAAAAACTAATCACGAGAGACCATTAGACACTAATAAAAATGATGAAAAGGTGACTGCGTCTGTCGCTTGTACCAGGTGCTACAGCATGTTTCCTTCACAACAGATGAGACTCACTTCACGCTGAAAACATTTGATTCTTCACGCTCTGGAAGGGAGAGAAGGGACTTTAGAATCAAAGTCTTATAATGATTATAAAGATCGTCATTCTTCTGTCTCATCTGAAATTCTTATCTCATTTTTGAGCTTTAAAGAATTATAAAAAAAAGAAGGAAGAAGTCATGAAGATGGCTTTTTGTTTTTCAAATGTGTAAGAAAAAAAACTGAATCGATCGAGGCATCTCCCATATGTTGCGAGGTCAAATGTATGTTTTTATAGACGGAGTTTGCCGATTGATTTGTGCTTCATTTAGTCTGTAATCGACTGATCTGTTGGACTATTACTTGTAATGCTAGCGTCCTGTGACCAGGTATGTGTTTTAGAATTAGAGAGCCAGTGTCTCAGTGGGTTCACCTCAAGGTAAATCGTTGGATCTTGAGACAGCGAGATGCCATTGCCAGAAGCAGTTATTAACTCAGCTGTGAGATATCGAGCTTTAGTCACACTGCGGCCACTCTCATGCACGACTAAGGAAGCAGCATCCAACATTTAATGAAGCTGAGAGAGTTTCTAAATCAACACATGTTACTGACTGCTTTCATTTTTGGGTTAGTGAGGTAAGTAACATCTCAAAACAATGTCACCACAGGCATGATGGTACACTTTTATATTCAGATATTTTCTTGGATTCCCAACAGTTGATGGACGCTGTTGGATCAAACCTGAGATTTTTCAAAAACCCCAAAACAGTCTTTGAAGCGGTTGTCCTGCGTGTGAACAGAGATGGTCTTACATGTCTCCATGCCCTCATCCTCCTCCTCCGTCGCAGCCGGTCGGTCGTAGGACTTGTCGATGGCTGCTCTGAAGCTCTCGTTGCAGCCCCGCCCCCTGATGATACGGGGGCGCGGCCTGTGGAAGGGGAGGTCCCCGTTGAGGGTGACCTCGGCGACGGCGGTCTGCAGGCTCTCGAGGGAGCTGGACTTCTTCAAGCCTAGCGATGGCCCCACGTCTCTTGTGGAAGAACCTGACGGGAGGATAGAGAGGAGAAACGATGACGGACCAAATGAGCTAACTTCTACAGCGCGGGCTTCATCAATATCTACATCGATACCTTCTTCTAAAACCATATTTAAGTGTGGCAGCTGATGATGTACTCTAAGTCCATTTCTAATAAAACACAATGTAATTATTTAAGCCTCAAAAAGGAGCTAAAATCTATTTTTTGAACAGATAATTTATCTTCGAGAGGGGTCAAGGTTACGCAGCTGTAATCAAGCAATAATGCTCAAATAATAAGGCCCCATGTCCACATAGTGTTTTCTAAAGGCAGCAAAGCATAGATAAAAAATGCTGCACATCTGTCCTGTCTCTATGACAACAGTCTTTTGACAAAGACCACAATATGAGGGACACTGTTCTGTTACTTTTTACTGCATGTTTTATACTTGAGATCATTTCCACCCCAGCAGACACGGATCAAAGAGGATGTGGGAACAAGACACGATCCATAGGAGATTAAAAAAACTGTTTATTATACATTTGGAAAATGTAAATTTGGTTGACCTCAACAGTGCCTGTCAGAAAAGTTTAAAGATTTTCAGCTCGAGCGCTCAGAGTGACTGCACAAAAAAAGGCGGAGCGTTTGGAAAAACGATGCTGGCTGCTGCGCTTGTCGTCGCTTTCTCCTACTTGAAAACAATTTTAAAAAAGATGCTGGCACTCAGAGAAAAAGCTAGGTGGACACAGGGCTTAAGAGTACCTTCAGTGACAACATCTGTAATTTAAACTCTATATACCAGTGGTTCTCAACTGGAGGGTCAGGACCTAGAAGTGGGTCGTGAATGTGTGTCTGGATAAAAGAAATGGTGTGAAAAAGTCCATGAAGGGCTTTTTAACAGGGTTTTTTTTTCAATCCTCTTTAATCTGTCACAGGTTTTGTACCATCTGAGGTCCAACTACAAAATCTTTCATGAAATAATTCTGACTGGTTGAAAACATAAGAAATTTGGGACTCGATTTCTCATGAAGTTGTTGGTTGTTGGGTCCAGCTGAGAACCACTCACAAATATGACCAACTAATGTTAGAAGCTTCATCTATTTTACATGTTTTATTACAAAAAGTAAAGCCACTAATATCCTACAGCGTAGATATGTCTGGGTTACATCCTAATTTATTCTATTTAATTTATTAAGTCAACATAACCTCATAAAACCACCACACATATCTAATGCAGTGATAAATAACACAATGCATCCACAATCAATACGTACACATTAACCTTGGTTGTGAGTAAAGCCTATAAAACATTCTCAAGGATAAAGTGATGATGTTGTGCAGGAGAAGTTATTTTATGAGTTCTTTTACTAAATGAAACAACAGGATGATTAAAGAGGATGGATTTTAAAAGAACAGAGAAACTTTCAGGGCATAAAAACGAAGCAAGGTGACACATTCAAAACAAGGCGCCAAATCCAAACCACCACAAACTAAATCTGTCCAAGGATCCGCTCACTGGCTAATTCTTCATGACTGAAGAGGAAGGTCTACTAACAATCGAGAGTAAACTGGACAGCAGTAACACATAACCTGGAAATCAATCAGGTCCTTCTCAGGAAGCAGCTTCAACAACTTTTCTTTCTTAGTCAACTTATTTATCCTTTAGTGGAGGGGTTGCCAAACTACCAGCTTGTGAAACCCCAAAATAAAGGTGCCAGAGAGAAACTGCCCCACTCTCTCTGGAGATGGTCAAGACATCCATCATCATAAGCATATCAGTCCTGTCCTAGCATCCCTTCACTGGCTCCCTATACACTTCAGAATCCATTTTAAAGTTGTTTGTTTTTAAAGCCCTGAATGGCTTGACCTCCCTGTACAGTACACTTCATCGAGGCCCCATAGATCTTCAGACAGGGGCCTCCTGGACTCCTGGCTGTCCCCCCGCTTACGGCTCAAGCTCAGGTGTGATCGTGCTTTTGCAGTCAAAGCCCCTAAACTGTGGAACAGCCTCCTCTTTTTTAAGTCAAAACCTATTTTTATATGTTAGCGTTTGAGACCTGGTCAGCTGCTGCTGTTTTTAAATGTGCTTTATAAATAAATGTGACTTGAGCTGACAGATAACCTACACACACTAAGAGGCTTATTCAAACACTGGTAACCACTGATGAACTACTTTTGTTTTGATCGCCACATGGACTGATTTCCTGAATACCACAAACACCAACAAGCGAAGCCTTCTCAAACATGATCAGTCCAAACTGAACAACGGAAACCAGAAGACTTCTGACCCCAAGAATCTTGAATGCTACTTTCAAATACATAATTTATAGACAAAAACTAAGTCAGAAATGTGGTACAACAAGACATCAGGCTTTCAAATGTTTCCTTTAAATGACATTTTATAAAGCTTCCATACATCAAGAATCAGAGGATAAACCTTAAAGGCTTTATATGTGATTTTTTGATCCAGCAGATGTCGCCCTTGAGCTCCAGCATGAAACCAAAACAACTTGCGCTGCATTGTTGTGTTAGCATGCTAATGCTAGCGATCTTTATTATGCTGGTATCTTCACACTGCATGTAAATTTACCTGAAATGAGCGTGATCTAGAAACACAGTTAAGCAGTGAGTACAGTATGTTAATCTTCTTTTCTCTAGTCCCTCAATTAAACATCTTTTATACACGAGGGGAGGAGTCAGCCGGCCGTCCAGGCGATGTAAACAAACTGAAGATAGGACTCTGAAAACTCTGAAAGCATCACAGACAGTGGGACTCAGGTGTTACACCCATTGTAGACAGTCATGACTCACAGAGTTATTTTAAAATTATATTTAAGTGTGAATAATCACATATAAAGCCTTTGAGGAAACGTTGTTCTCAACACACAGACATGTGAAATGTGTATAAATGGTTTGAATGCCATGCCTGCTTTAGTGCAGCATCTCTGCTCAGTGACAAGAAAACACCTGGTCTCGAGGTCTCAGACGACCACTAAGCGACTCTGACAACAACACACCGTATTTAAACCTCGATGCTGTTGAGTTCAATAAGAATGAAGCTAATGGATTGTGAGAGTGTGTCCATGTGTGTCTGCAAAAATCCCTCCCAACTGACTCCAAAATGATATCACGAAGATGTGCGACTGAACGAAAATAACCATCAGCAAAGCCAGAGAAACATGACAGTTTAATTAAACTATGAACATTTGTACAGTGGGGGCAGACATTATTATGTTTTTTTTTTGTTCCCATATGGCACCTTTCACAGCGCTGAGAATGTGTTCAGTGGCAAATAAATGTAGGAAGATAAGGGTGAAGAGGTAAATGGAAGAGTCCTAATCCCCTGGGTGGTGTCAGTGCAGAGTTACTGTAGCAGGAGGAGCTGCAAAATACACGAGGCCTGACAGATTAACACGAGGCACTGTGAGGGAGGAGAGGGCATGAAAGAGAGAGAGAGAGAGAGAGAGAGAGAGAGACAGAAAGAGAACAATAGAGAAAGAGAGAGAGAGAGAGATAGTGAAGAAAGAAGTGAGGGAAGAAGGAGAAGAACTGCACTAAAGTTTGGAGTGAAATGAGGGTTGAGTCAAGAAGAAGACAGACATTTCAAAGACTTCAAACTCAGAGAGAAAGAAGAGGATGGAAATGAAACAAGAGATAAAAAAAAGAATGTAAAAGTGCAAACTAGTAAAACCAGCTAACAGTAACTCAAACATCTACACTCCTCTGTTCCACTTTCCTTTTCTAAAGCTACACCACCCGACTGTTTTCTTTAAGTTCTATTTTTTGGGCTTTATTGGATACAACAGCTGAAGAGAGAGAGGAAGTGTTGGGATGAGAGCGCGAGAGGGATGACATGCAGCAAAGGGCCGAGGTCGGATTCAAACCCATGACCGCTGCGATGAGGACTACAACCTCCATACAAGGGGGGTGTGACATAACCGCTAGGCTATCAGTGCTCAACCGCCCAACTGTTTAAGTGAATTTTATTTCACCGTTTGCTTATTGTGAGGTCGTTTCAAGGGTCATTTTAGAGTTCTTTATAAAACTAGAACCAGAGTTTATAGAATCAGGAGAATATCCTGAGGCGTTCTCACATCAGCTCGTAAAATAGTAGGCGTCTGGCAGGAGAAACTCCGGGTTAAGTCGTAATGAAAAAATTGGGCAGCTCCTCCTGGAAATATCAGGAGTTTTTCAGGAGTTTTCTGCAAGTGTGAAAGCCCTATATGAGTATTTTAGCTACTTGTGATGTCATTTCTTGGAGGTTCTCTAAACGCGTTATAACCTCTAAATCTGTACAGATTCAGGTATTGTATGTAAAGGAAGTTGTGCCTTCACCATTATGGTTGTGATTCCATATCAACCTGGATTAAGACATTATTGATCTGCTGTGGACAGTTGGCGGCCAACCATAACATACAGAACATAACAGATGATAACTTTATATAACGTACTATAAAACATTTTATGATTGATCTTTCCATTTTGTCTTCATTTGGGGCACTGAGCGACTTTTAAATCACAAAGCATTTAGTGTACTGGCAGGTTTCTTTGTGATCTCAATTATTATTCTAAGCATATTGGACTCGGCTGCCTTGAAAACAGAATTAAAATCTTCATACAGTCGATTAGGGTGAAATATATTGAAATTTATTCAAATCACCTGCCAGGGCTGTAGAATTAAAAAGCAAAATCTGGAGGAGAAGCTGATAAACAATGCCAGGCTTTATGTTTACAGTTTGACCGACCCGAAAGGAAGAAAAAAAAAAGAAGAAAAAGAAAATTGAATACATGCAGAGTGAACAAGCTAGTGTGCTGGCGGTCTCCCATTCATTCTCATCAGTCTGTCCTGTTCCCTTAACGTCTCACTGAGAGCCGGGCCTGATAGGCTTTTCACGCTGCACACCCACTTTATTTAAAGGCTTTTGCCCAGCGCCACTCGCTGCAGTCACACTTCAGCAGCGGTATGAAAAAAAAGAAAGAAAGATTGTTTACACCGTGTTGGAGATCTGACAAATGGTGTTTGGTAA